GAATTCTCTTCAAATATCATCTCCTAAACCTGTTAGAATCATCAAAATCGTGCAAACTTCATCTAATCTCACTCAAATCTGAAATTCTTCAAGGTATTTTTCTAAAACTTCTATTTCATCAATTTTTGAACATAGAACTAGTTTTAATTAGTTCTAGGTCGAACTTTAGATCGGGCATTGATTGTTTAGTGATTAGAAACTAGATTTTACAACTAATTTCATCAAAAACACAAGAATTTTCCAAAATTCTTTGAAATTTTCAAAATAATTTTTTTTTTAAATTATTGTGTTTTGATTGAATTATGTTGTTGTTATGAAAACTATACATATATTGATTTTCAAAACCTTATTTTTCAATAAGTTTTTCAAAAAAAAAAACTTTGTCCATTAGGATTGATATAGAGAACCTTGAAATATTGAGGACTCAATTGAGTTTTGGGATTGATTATTTTGCATACATATGTTTTTAAAAATGTAGGTTATCTTTCTATTCCGATTATCTTAAACCATGTCTCATAAACGTTCTAGGTCCTCCTCTAGTCGTTCTAGCCAACCTCCAAACTCACCTTCAAATCCTCCACCTATCCCACAAATTCCTATTCCTAATCCCGATGATCCAAACATGACCATTCGCAATTCTTGTTTCAATGAACCCGGTCGTAAACAAAATCTCTACTATAGGTTTTGTCAATAATTTGAGTCCTATAAAATTCGGGAAGAACGTATCCCATCTCTTCAAGCCATGCTAGACATCAATTTTTGTCATCTTCCTACTCTTCATGAGTGGAAATTTGACAAACTCTTCGAGCTTGAACCAATTGTCTACCATCAACTTGTTCGTATCTTCTACTCTAATGTTGTTTGCATTAAAAAGTGAGAGGAAACCTTAACCATAGGGATCCGATCCTATCTTCTAGGACGATTCTTTCATCTTGACTCGAAATTCATTGCCAAAGCATTAGGATTAGATAATGAAGGGTTAGACAATGAAAAACTTACGGTAGGATCTCAGTATAAGCGAAGGGATAATGCTAGTGTTCTAGACCTTCATGACCGTTTTCTTCACCTAATGATCTCTTGGTGGTTTCGATCATCCGGGGGCTGTTACTCTACTCTTCGCGCCTTAGATCTATTTTGGCTTCATTTTGTCCAAAATAATCTTAAAATTAACCTTCCACAGATTATTTTTGTTGAACTTGTCGAAACCGTAAATCTTGTTCCCAATAAGAAATTGTGTTCTTCTTTAGTTTACGATTGTATTCTTAGTAATCTATTTAAGAAGGCTGGGCTTAGAGTTGGTCTTTATGCTTCCTTTCCCCTCAAAAACCAAATCAATCTATTATCTTTAACTAAATCGGGATGGAAGATCAATGAAGAAATTGGTCTTTGGGTTCGTACCAGTGAGCAACCGCCTGAAGTTGACGACTCCGACGATGAACCAGAACAGCACGAGGAGCAAGAACGAGTAGAGGAACAAGCACAACCAGAGGATCAAATGCCTCCATACTTTCGATCCTTTATGGAGACATTCGATTTTCGATATGCTTCTATGGATTCTCGTTTCACTTCTATAGAATCTCATTTATCCACAATGGTAGCTCAACAATTGGAAATTCTCTGGGAGATGCTCACAAACAACGCTTCTATGAATGAACGCATTGATGCACTCTCACATGATATGGCCGCTATGCGAGCTCATTTTCCTCATCCCGATCCTCCTACAGATGTTTGATTATGTGTTATGCTTTAGTACTTTGAACTTAAAGCTTATTGTTTCAACATTTTGAATGTTTTTGGATTGTTTTTACTTTGGTTGTTGGATATTTGAACTAATTTAATGAATTACGGATGTTTGAACTTATATTTATATATATTTGGTTTGGTTAAATTTATTCATTATTTGCATCATATACATCAATTAGATATATGACCAATTTTGCCATATCACATTGTTTATGAATATTGATTATGAAGCAAATGGCTAAAGATTCTCTTGATTGTGATCTTAGCAGCTTAAGCTATATATATTTATAATCAATTGGCTTAATGATTTCAAAACCTTGTTTAAAATCTTTTAACAGTCTTTTTGATTTAACAAAAAGGGGGAGAAATGTTGAAGTGTTAGAGTAAGGGGGAGTAATTTCAAAACTTGATTTCAAAATCTTAAAATTACTAAAATGTTTTGTTATATCAAAAAGGGGGAGATTGTTGAATACATTTTGATATTTCGATATAACAAATTAAGATAAATGAATTTTAATATTTTCCAAAAGATTTTCTAAGTATATTCGATATAATTATTCGAATATCAAAATATTACTCCAAATCTTTCAAAAGTCATTTTTAATCCTTACTCAAGTGTAAAATTAAGTTTTAATCTTAAAATAATTTCAAAACAATTTTACAAAATATTTCGAACCATTTCAAAAACAAAAATTCCAGATTGCTCAGAGGGAACCGATTCCCCCCTGAATGGTTTGGCTTCGAGAAAAACAGAATGCTCGGAGGGAACCGATTCCCCCCTGTTTAACAGTCAAAATATTTGAATTTTACACTTAGGGAACCGATTCCCTATGAGGGGGAACCGATTCCCCCCACGCTCTAAGCAGAAATATTAATTGTTTTCACACTTAAACGGATCCAGTAACTTCATTAATGATCCCCAACGTTCAGAAGTGATTCAAGGTGTATTTAAACAAGTTCTGAAGCCTTTGATCAATAAGAAATCATAGAGAAACAAGAGAGAAAGTATCAAACACAAAGTTTGTGCAAATCAAGCCAATTTTCCTTTCAATATTCATTTTGCTTTCAAGAATACCATTTGTGCTCATTTTTAATTATTTGTGAGTGTTCTTTTCTTGTTCTAGAATTGTGCAAACATTTTACCTTATGAGGTTTTCCTTGTAAGTTTGCAAATTTGTGTATTTCTCTTTAAAAAAGAGTGTGCTCAAGAATTTGGGGTATAATTCTTGAGGGAGTTGTAAGGTTACTCTTTGTCCTCAAAAGAAAGAACAAATTAGTGAATTTGTTGGAAAATCCTTAGTGTGGATAGCTTAGTGGATGTAGACTTTGGTTGAGAAAGTCGAACCACTCTAAATCGTTGTGCAAATATTTTCAATTTTCTGCAAAAGCTTCCACCAAAATTTTAATTGCCAATTCACCCCCCCTCTTGGCCATTTCCATCAATCGATTAACTCAACAATTACTGTTTGTCAAGTTGATGATAAGTTGATCATACGAATCCGGTAGACTTTGAAGTAGAAGTTCAGCACGTTCTTGTTCTCATATTTTACAGTTTAAGGATGTAAGCTAAGAAAATAAAGTGTTCAGTGTATTTAAGTGCTCCGTCAGTGAAGTAGATTCTAGCATACGGAGAGTGTACAATTTTCTCTTAAGGAAAATTTTATTGTGCAGCGACGTGGCCTCGTACAGTTTGGTGAGATGATCTCATATCTCCTTAGCTGTCTTCTTCTCCTCGATGCTTGACAATACTTCATTTGCTAATGCTGGATGAAAGTTTGCTATAGCATTCCTGTTCATTTCGATCCACTTGTTGTCATATGTGAAATCCACCGGCCTTTCACTGATAGCTGCTAGACAACCGTCTTTCCTCAAGATGGCCCTCATCTTCAATTTCCACAATGAGAAATTTCTCCTATTGAATTTTCCAATATCAAATTTCGTTACCATACCTTCTATTACGGATAGCTCCCACTATTTCACTATCGTGAATAGTTCTCTGGAACCTTCAAAGAATGGGTAATACCTTCTTACTTTCTTATGTTAGAGGATCCACCTTTTGGTGGCAACCACAAAAACAATAAGCAGATATTACACACTCAAATCTAGCTCGGATACCAATTGTTGCGGAAGACGGCTATTGAATAGAGCAAAATCGCAACTAATAATTTGAGAAAATAAAAATGAAGATAAAAGAGACAAAAAATTTACGTGAAAACCCCTAAATAATATAGGGTAAAAACCACGAGCAACGGTAGAAGAATTTTACTATAAGAAAATAGGAATTACAACTTTTCTCTATCTACCAAGGAGAAAACAATGATAATTCTCTCTTGATAAAAAAGAGACTTGATAAAAGGAGAAAACAACTCTCAAGAAACTCTCTAAATTCTCTAGTATTGGAAGAAAGCTATAATGCTTTGGGATGAATTTGAAGCTAAATTAGCTAGGGTATTTATAGTTGAAGTTTAAGGACTAATTTGTAAATATCTTAAATTACAATGGCTAAAATTAAGGTTATACCATTGTTGAAAACTCAACAATTTCTACAGCCCTTTTGACAATTGTACATTCGGTGCATTAATGCACCGAAATCTTCCTCCCATATTTGACTTTCTACAATGAAAACTGACCAAGATCCAAATTCATTTTTCACTCTCTATCAATGGTGGAGAGAGAAGGGTTTTAATGGGTTTTTTTTTGCATGGTTTTTTCGAAATAATAATAAGAATAGTAAGAAGAAAAAGAATGGAAAGGAGGAGAAGAAGAACTAGGATTTTTTTAAAATTTTTTTAATTACCATGTAATACTTCCGTTAAAGAGTTAACGAAAATTAATTGTTAAGGGATTAAAATCTAACTGATCGATAACGTTAGGGACTAAAATCAAACGTATCGATAACGTTAGGACCATGTACCTTGAATTTTCAAAGTTGGTGACCAAAGTCAATTAGACCAAAAATAAAAGGGAATATTTGCATAATTTACCCAAATAAAATAATGATATTTTCGTTTCACAATTTCAGAGGCAAATTTGAAAATATGATTATGAAGTGAGAAAAATGAAGAACTTTAGGGGTAAATATATATTTAATCCTTAAGAACAAAAAATCTTCGTATAAAGTTACAGAAAGAGAGCTCGTGGGAAAGGGCAAAAGATCTCCCATTTTTTCTTCGTTCGTTGGATAACACCAAATTCGTTAACATATCAACGTCCCTCCTTTCTTCACTCACAAATTAATAAAATTTTCTTTCCTTTATATTAAATTTAAATACCGTGAATTCATGGCAGTATTCAGTTTGGCGCCGGAAGAGTCCTCACCGGATCCAACCCAGCAACATCCACCGCCGCAACAACAGCTGCAGACCGGTCGAGAGGTGGCTTCCGACGACGAGCGGTCAGTGGCTGCCGATTCCTGGTCAATAAAGAGCGATTACGGAAGCACACTCGACGATGAGCAGCGCCACGCTGATGCCGAAGCCCTCTCCTCTGCTGCCAAATTCCGTACCGCCCCATATTACAGGTTTTTCTGTTTCTAATTCTAATGGTCTTTCATTTCCACCGTTTTTAAATTGAATGTTTGACTAGATTTTTAGTGTTTAAGAGAGCTATAAATAAATGTGCCGGCGTTGTAGAAAATGACATCTAGCTTGCTTGCTCAAATTTAAGTTATATTGTTTATTATGTATTGTTGGGTTGCGGATTTTAAGCGTGAGATTTTATCTATTGACAATTGAAATTAGAATCTTTAACTTTCTTTGTAAGACTTTTGAATGGGAAAATTTCTTAGTATGCTTTACCTTCCTTGTATTTCTGGAAATAATTTTGGCGGTACTGTTAAAAAAAATTCTAAATGGGTCGATTGAATGCTATTAGAATGAAAACAAAAATTATTGAAATAATCAATTATAGCATTTTGAGTTCTTCACAGCCAAATAATAGATCGTGTGATTTCAGTATATGATTTTATCTGCTATGTTGTCCTAACTCATGGTAAGTGTCAGATACAAGTATCTGTTTTTATGGGTATGTTTAATTTTAAGTTTTTCCATATATTTGAAGGATCCTAGCCCTATACCCATGCCTTGTCAGGAACAAGTCTAGGGCATAAGTGATTTATAGAAAAACAAAAAGTCCAGGCAACATAATTTATCAGTACAAATTTATAAATGAATACAATCCCGAAGTAAGTTTAACCAATTTCAGGGTTATTAGTTTAATTTTAAGGATATTTCTTTTATGGGTGGAATTGTCAGAGTATTATACTTCTAATCCATTGCTAAGAATATTTGATATAATGTATCTGTCATGCTGATATGCTTAACATGGATTTGTATGGGTTTCTGTTTCTTTTATATACACTATACACAGCTCTGACAAGGATGAACCAGATGCCGATGCAATGACAACAGTGCTATGTCTTCAGAGTTATAGGAATGGTGCAAATGCAGAGGAGTTGGCAAATTTTCATGAACATGACCATGCTGCTGAAATTTGGTCAGTATAATCGTAGCTATGTAGTTTTGCATTCATTCTGGGCAACTAGCAAAAATATTTGTTAATCACATAATTACATAATCTGTGTATAAATATGTTAAATGGAATTTAATATAATATGCATTTCAATGGTTCTTCCCCCAATAACCGACTGACTTGATAACTCCGCATTATCTGGCAGGCTTAAGAACTATCTCATTAATGGAAGATTGTAAGAGCTTTCCCATAATGCTAATTTCACTTTAGATATTTTGATTAATTTGTCTCTTCTTTACTGTTTTCCCTCTCTCGATAGGATTGGAGCTGATATCATTGATACTGTTACTTTTTGGACCAAAAGCTTGTGTATTGATATTTCTCAAGGTCACATGCCAAATCATGTTGATGAGGCCAAGCTCGAACCTGTTGCACTGGATGAAAAATATTTGTCTTGCTGGAGTGTACTTGATATTGGCACTGGCAACGGTCTGCTCCTTCAAGAACTTGCTAAGCGGGGTATGCTCTGAGATTAGCTTGTGGTTTTGTTATTATATGCTACTAAAATCAATTCAAGATAATAGTTTCTCAAGCATTTAATTGTTGGTAAGATTTTTTCTAAGGCTTATTATTATGTGTTATAGGGACATGGTAATGATTGAATTAACGGGGAAAATCTCAACAGTTAAGACTGGGAAAAAATTGTTTTTTCATTGTCTGTGTTGTCAAGGTATGTGACCAGGCATGCCTGGGTGTTGCACCTTAGTGTGACCCAGACAAAAAAAGCACCTCCTACTCTTTCGGGTGAGGCACTTTGATCAAGCACATGCCTGGTGTGCCTAGGTACACTTATTTGTAAGGCAAGGGGAGAAAAGAGTGTAAATTATGTTCTTTTCAGTGTTTTATATTTAACTTGTTTTCTTAAGCTTCACCCTTACTATTAATAAAGCGAAAAATGCCTAACAAAAGAGGAAAAAATGAAGTGCATGTTCCTTGGATAAACTGGACCAATCACTGGAGCCCATTATCATAGTTATAATATATATATCTTTAATTTATTATACGCATACACAAGCACACGTACATATTGTGCCTTCCTTCATTCAGGAGAGTTGTCTTTATGTGCTTTGTGCCTTGCCGATTTGAGGATTCTAGTGCTTAGAGTCTTCCTTGTGCCCATCACAACAGTGATTTTTATTAAATTCGTGATGCTGTGAGATGTGTAGGCCTTGGGTCAACCTTCTGATAAATATGCTTTGGGCTCAACAAAAATTTCTTTTTATCATTGCATTTATGGTAATGGTCTAAACTTTCAGATAAATATTAAGTGAATACTTTGCATTTTTCAATCCAGGTTCACAGATCTGACTGGTATTGATTATAGTGAGGATACAATTGACCTTGCTCGTAGTCATGCCATCAGGGATGGATTTTCAAGAATCAAGTTTCTGGTATGGATGGGACTTCTGACCTATAACTGAAATCTGTAGACATTTCATGCGTCTTACTTGTTTAGATATTTTCCCAACCTTTAAAACTTCAAAAATTACCTGACCCTATTCCCATATGTAATGGGTAATGGGGAGGTAGGATAGTAGGCTGCCCCCAACGCCAGGTTGAGAGCAGCTTCGAGACCTCCGGTAGTCAGAATTATGAATTGCCCATCATGAGACTCGATCCCACGACCACAAGGTTAAGAGCCTTGCGCTCTTACCAACTGAGCTGGATGGGCAAAAGGAAATTGAGGGAGTTGGTGTGAATTATGTGGCCCCAAAAGGAAATTGATATTCCATGTTGTAAAGATAACAGTATATTAAGACTTCAATCAACCATTTAAAGGGGTAAAGATCAAGTTGTAGATTTCTTATTCCAATACTGATGCATAAACAGATTCCTCTTTGTTGAATTTCTACATATTGGTAGTTTCTCTTACTGGCTAGATTATTCTCAAAGCACCTTGACCATTTTCATTTGGTTTGTTGATTTGTTCCTTAGGTTGATGATATTGAGACAAAGTTGGAAAGACAATTTCAACTTGTGATGGATAAGGGGACACTTGATGCTATTGGCTTGCATCCTGATGGGCCTATCAAAAGGTAATAATGGCACCATCTTTACTGCAATTCTGCCCTTCTCCTCTGTTTCCCTTGTAAACCAAGATATATTAACAAATAGGCAAATAGCCAAGTATCAGGACATTCTAGTTGATGCTGGTTGAATCCCATAATGTTAATTGCATGATTTGCACTTGTGTATATGATACAGCAGTCTCTTTATCTGTTTCTTTTTTTTTAATTTTTCAAAAGCTCTACCATGTGCATTTGTTTTGATTTTCTACATGATCACCTTCTAAAAATCCTTTAAAACCTTTTCCTTTTAGGATGATGTACCCTGGTGGAGTATTAGTAAGCATCATTAATTGTTTTATTTCATTTTGATAAATTTGCATGCTTGTCTGAAAACAAGAGCAGTTGGAATCCAAGCTCGAGTTCGAGTACGAGCTCTTTGTTTCACCTGCTAGTTGCTTGAGTCTACTCGAGCTTGAGCTTTAAGTTTAAATATTCTTGGAGTCCTGAGATTAGCTTTGAGAAGTTTGAAGGAATATAGTAAAAGTTTGCACTCAATCTTTTCTCTTCATAAAACGCTGCTTGTAGGTAATTACATCTTGCAACCATACAAAAGATGAACTGGTGCATGAGGTTGAAAGCTTCAATCAAAGAAATGCTGGGATGGCACAAGAAACAAACACGGATCGTCCCCCGTTCCAGTACCTTAACCATGTCCGAACTTATCCTACGTTCATGTTTGGTGGATCTTTGGGATCGCATGTTGCCACAGTTGCATTTCAACGGAACTAAAATCGTAGATTTCAAACCCTAAACCTACTAGATATCACCTATCTAGGATAATTACATGGATTAACTAAGCTAAACTTTGGATTCAATTTTCTTTTTCATTTTTCTCAATATCTTCAATTAACAAATAATAAGGGTTTTAGCTTGCTATTTATTTAGTAATATCTACAAAGCTGCAGAGCTTGTTGCCTTGAATGCGATAGGAGAATAGTAAGGCTGAAGCGTTAGTTCTAATTTAATCCAAAATTGTAACAAAATAAATAAATTTATCCATTTATTTCTAAATGAATATAGAGTAAATTACCTACTCCCATGTTTCTGTCTATATATTTTTTCCTATGAGAAATTATATCTGATTTTAGGTTTCTCTTTCATCTTCAACAATTCAATAGATTCAAATCTTGGTTCTCTTGAAGGGATAGAGACGCTTAACCACTGGTCTAAGCATGTTAATTATATTAGTTTCACCATAATATGTTTTTAAATTATACTAAATTTTCAATATAAAACAAATGATTTTATTTCTATTCATTTCAATAAACTTTGCTTTCTAAGTATTTCAAACACTCAACTACCGTTCACAACGTCCGGCCCGTTATAGTTCCTTTCTCTTTTTTTTTGTTTTTCTATTTAATTTTCTCTTTGAATTGGGTTGTTTTGATAAAAACAAGGATGTTTTTTGCACTAACAGTGGAAAACAGAGGATACACAGAAAATAGTGAATAAACTTTTTTCATTTTATTGACAAATCACCAGCCTATAAATAGACAAATACATAACTGAAAGCAACATGAAAATAGGCACTATCCAACGTGCATCAATAAACTCCTATTGACTAGGCCAACTCCAATTAACTAGGAAACAAATTAAAACAAACTACCGAACTCCTAAAGACTAGGACAACCCAAATCCTTTCTTACTTGTGCTACTACTAATTTATTTAACAATCCCTCTCTTAAACTGATGTTCCACACATAACATCAGTTTAATAAGACTCAAACTTTGAAGCGCCATCCCTCAAATAAAGTCTTTTGAACTACAAACTCCAAGTAACTCCCTGAACTTCAAAAATGCTAGAAATTTGATAGGTTTTGTTAGAATATCAGCAATCTGATCTTCACTTCTACAGTAAACCAAATTAATAACTCCATCATTCGTGAGATCTCTTAAGAAATGATAATTCACATCTATATGCTTGCTTCGACCATGTAGAACATGATTTTTTGAGAGCTTTATTGCTGAACTGTTGTCACAGTAAATAAGAGTAGGCCCATCTTCTTTGAACTGGAGTTCTTCAAGAATCTTCTTCAGTCAAATAGCTTGATAAGCACAAGTTGTTGCTGCAACAAATTTGCTTCAGTGGTTGATAATGTAACGATTGGTTGCTTCTTTGATGACATTGAAACAACTCATGTTCCCAACATGAAAACATACCCGAATGTTCTTTTTCGATCATCAGAATCTCATGCATAATCACTATTTGTAAAGCCAAACAAATCTAACTTTTTTTCCCTTTTTAAAGAATAGCCCAAATTCCTTAGTACCTTGCAAGTACCTAAGAATTATTTTTGCAACCAAAAGATGAATCTCTGTTGGACACTTCATGTATCTACTAATGACACTTACAACATGCATTATATCAGGCCTTGTTGCAGTCAAATACATTAAGCTCCCCACAATTTGCTTGTAAAGTGTATTGTTAACCTTGTTTCCTCCATCATCCTTGTTTAGCTTCAAACCAAACTCAGATGGTGTATTCAAAGGATTACAATCCTTTATCTGAAACTTGTCCAATATTTCTCCCACATACTTCTTTTGAGAAATAAGAATGCCAACAAAGGATTGCAACACTTCTATGCCAAGAAAGTAATGCATCATGCCAAGATCAGACAATTCAAATTCAGCCATCATGGATTTCTTAAAGCTTTCAAACATGGTTGTATTACTTCAAGTACAGATTAGATCATCCACATATAAGCAAACAGTGAGCATCTTTCTTCCATCTTCAATTTTTATAAAAATTGTTGAAAACATTTTGATATTTCGATATAAAAAATTAAGTTAAATGAATTTTAAGATTTTCCAAATGATTTTCTAAGTATATTCGACATAATTATTCGAATATCAAAACATTACTCCAAATATTTCAAAAATCATTTTTAATCCTTACTTAAGTGTAAAATTAAGTTTTAATCTTAAAACAATTTCAAAATAATCTTTCAAAGTATTTCGAACTATTTTAAAGCCAAAAATTCCAGATTGCTCAGAGGGAACCTATTCCCCCCCCAAGGGGGTACCGATTCCCCTTGAATGGTTTGGCTCTGAGATTTCCAGAATGCTCGGAGAGAACCGATTCCCCCATAGGGGGTACCGATTCCCCCCTGATCAACGGTCGAAATATTTGAATTTTGCACTTAGGGAACCGATTCCCTATGAGGAGGAACCGATTCCCCCCACGCTCCAATCTGTTTTATTAATTGTTTTCACACTAAAACAACTATATGATCTTCACTAATCATCCCCAACGTTCAGAAATGATTCAAGGTGTATTTAAACAAGTTCTGAAGCCCTTGATCAACAAGAAATCATAGAGAAACAAGAGAGAAAGCATCAAACACCAAGTTTGTGCAAATCAAGCCAATTTTCCTTTCAATATTCATTTTGCTTTCAAGAACACCATTTGTGCTCATTTGTAATTATCTTTGAGTGTTCTTTTCTTGTTCTAGAATTGTGCAAACATCTTACCTTGCGAGATTTTCCTTGTAAGTTTGCAAATTTGTAATATTCTCTTTGGGAAAGAGTGTTCTCAAGAATTGGGGTATATTCTTGAGGGTGTTGTAAGGTTATCTCTTTGGCCTCAAAAGAAAGAACAAATTAGTGAATTTGTTGGAAAATCCTTAGTGTGGATAGCTAAGGTAGTGGACGTAAACTTTGATTGAGAAAGTCGAACCACTCTAAATCGCTGTGCAATTACTTTCAATTTTCTGCAAAAAGCTTCCACCAAATTTTTAATTGCCAATTCACCCCCCTCTTGGCCAAATCCGTCAATCGATTAACTCAACAATTGGCATCAGAGCCTAACTCATTTGAAGGTTTAATCGCCTCTTGAGTCGATTCAGGAAGAGTTATATCGATAATCAAAGTCATCAATGGCCTCCGCTTCAAACTTCGACTCCGGTCTCGACTCGATGCCCGTCAACAAGCCTCCTTTCTTCAATGGAGCTAACTATGCCTATTGGAAGAATAGGATGATGTATTTCATTCAAGCAAGTGACATGGGAGCATGGAATGCTGTAGAAGAAGGATACATCAAACCTCTCACTCATCCAAGGTTATGGAGTGAATGAGAGACAAGAATGTTCCAGCTCAACTCCAAAGCCATCCATATCATTTTTTGTGCTCTTGGACCAGATGAATACGGAAGTGTTTCATCGTGTACAACCGCCAAAGAAATATGGGACAAACTTCAAGTCACTCATGAAGGTACCGATGAGGTAAAGAAATCTAAAATTAGTATTCTAACGCATAGCTATGAAAATTTCAGGATGACCCCAAATGAAGATATCAAAGCTATGACAGATAGTTTTTCAACGATTTTCAATGGTCTCAAATCATATGGAGAGATCATTTCAAATGAAAAGCTTGTGAGGAAGTTAGTCTACTCCCTCCCAAAATCGTGGCAATCAAAGAAGACGGCAATCATCGAGTCTAAGGACTTAACGTCCTTAACTCTTGAAGAGCTAATTGGGTCACTCCTCACTCATGAAATGATGCTCGAAGATGAGGTGGACCTCGACAAAATTGACGAGACACCAAAGGAGAAGGAGAAGAAGAAAAACATTGGAGTTGCTCTCAAATCCACAAAAGATGAGAGTGATTCGAATAACGATGACGATGGCGAGGAAATGGCATTGTTTGCCAAACGGTTCAGAAAAATGATGAGACCTTATCGAGGAAGAAAATTCAAACAAAATGAAGGCCTAAAAAATAAACCGAAAGAGAAGGACCCAATCATTTGCTACGAATGCAAAAAGCCAGGGCATGTTAAATATGATTGCCCACAATTGAAGAAAAAGGGTCAATCAAAGAATAAGCACAAGGCTCATGTGGCTACATGGAGCGATGAAGAAAGTTCCGATGAATAGGAACAAGAAGTAGCTAACTTGTGCTTGATGGCATTTGGGGAAGATTCTAAGGTAACCTCTAACTCATCCGATTTTGATGATTTATCCTATGATGAGTTATTAGAGGAATATAATGGGTTGGCTTCGGATTATGAGAAATTATTTTTAAAATATAAAACGATGTTTCAAAATTGAAAAATGAAAACAAACTCATATCCAAAACCAACAACGATCTTGAAAGTAAAATCAAAGATTTGCAAATCAAACTAGAAGAGTTTGAAAAGAAAATTTTAGATTTGCAAAATTTACTTTCAATGATCAATGATGATCATCAAAAGAAAATTGATGATCTTAAAACTTCTTTTGATAAAGTTGGAACAAAACATTTTGAAAAAGGTGGAAATTCAAAATCCAACTTTGTTAGAAAAAGTTTTAGAAACTACAATCATAGAGGTCCCCAAAGAACCTCTAATGGAAAAATCGTTAGAAGTATGTGGGTTCCTAAAGAACTCATTACTACTAAAGATAAAAATATCCTACACAAATGGATACCTAAGGGGACTAGGATTTTGGAAACTAATGAATATGGACCCAAAAGAATTTGGGTACCAAAAATAAAAAATTAGTCTATGTTTGTAGGGAAAGGAGCATTGCTACAAGGCACGGGAAACAAATTCAAATTCATGGTACCTTGATAGTGGATGCTCAAGACACATGACCGGAGATAAAAGCCGGTTCATTGAGCTTAACGCCAAAAATGGAGGAGAAGTGACTTTTGGAGACAATTTAAAAGGTCACATTGAAGGTATTGGTACAATAGATAATACCTCTTCCATACAAATTAAGAATGTTTTATATGTGAATGGATTAAAGCATAATCTATTGAGTATTAGTCAATTATGCGATAAAGGATTTAATGTCTTATTTGAAATTAATGGTTATAAAGTCATTGACATTGCATCTAATCGGATTATGCTTGTTGGTCATAGATTAGGGAACATTTACATGGTGCATTTAAATTCTTTTGATA